CAATTTCATTTGCAGCAGGCTGGGCCGAAGCCACCATTATCTACCATTCAAAACTACATAATGGTCCCATCCTCTTGAAGCAAGCGCCTCCATGCCCGTCCCTATAGAAATCCTCCAAAAGCAACCTCCCGTACTGGAACCTGCAATCGTTCCTCATAGTATCTCACGATCATGTACCATCGTCACAAATTAAATACATTATTCAAACTTTTGTACGGTTGCGGTTACATCTGCCCCTAATCTTTCCGTTCTTGTTGCTTCCACCTCGCTCTTCCCTTGTGCAGAACCTGAGGCCAGCACTGCCGCTGCTGCCCGCGAGAAATTGCGCCTATGTGAAGGTTATCTAACAGTGCACACTGATGAAGCAGGAGCTTGCCTTTGCCCTGCATTTGCCAATGGTGGCAGCACAGACCCATCACGCTTCATAGACTTGCAGCTTTTCCTGAATGCAGCCCATGGGGGCAGTTTCAGCTTTAGCACACAAATTGACCGCCAAAAAGTCCTGAAGCCGAAGCCTACCAACCCGGCAGCGCCCGTGCCTGAACCTGTCGGAATGACATTGAAGGAAACAAATGTACACTTCATTTTCTTGCAGCAGCAGATGTTCTTTGCAAATTGGTGGGCTTTGGTCGCAGCAAACAAACCCCTTGGCCTTGTTCAGCGATGTCTATTTTCTTTCGGCGCCCGTCTGAATGTAGGCAAGCAAACTTGGAATGCCTTCTCGCAGGACATCGCGATGCCCGTCATTGAGCGACTCTTTGCTGCTTTGATTCGCAGATTTGGTCCGCGTATGACTTCTGTGGAGCAAGCGGTCTTCCATACAACTGGGTGCCAACGTGCTGTTCTTGTGGAGTTAGAAGAGATTGGCCGTCTGTTTGCAAGAAAAGATTCTGTTTCTTCAGTGTTGCGAGAAGCTATGCCCAAAGCCATGTATTGGCTAGGCACAAGCATGATGACTAACCATCTTGTGCAGCATTTGTGGCCAGCTGCCTTAGGCGGTCCTTTACCTGATGATGTGCCCATGTATGTGAATGATGCTTGCTTCCTTGCGTCGGTGCAATTCATTCAGAAACGCTACCTCTATGGCCAGGCTGTTCTTGCAGTTTCAGCGAAGGAACAGATTTGGAACCCACGCAGCGACTCTCTCGATTCGTCAGATCTCTTGCCACTGTTGCTTCGCATTCTTCGTGGCGCGCCTGGTGCCTTCATCACTGCTGATCACATTTTTTTGCGCAGACCTGGCGCTCAAACGCTCACTTGAAAGAGGTGGCGATGCTGGTGCGAAGCTTGCTGAATTGAAGATTGCAACCATTTGGCAGCACCTCAAAGACCTCGGTATTGGAGAAATTTGTGCCACTGGAGTTGCAGGCTACATGCAAAAGTATCACATCCAATCTTTGAGCCAGCGTTGTCTGACTTGGCTTCGAAATCACCGGGTTCCTCTATCCCATTTTGGATTGCGGACAACAGTCGACCACGATGCGTTTCTCGGAAGGTTCCCTGGCCATTCTGACATCAATGTTGCCTTTCCGCCTCGTGACCATCCACAGACACCCAACGCTGCAGCCGAGGAAGCCAAGACAGCAACAGATGTTTCTTCGGAGCCTCCTACAGCTGCCCTTCCGAAAACGAAACCTAGCCGAAAGCAGAGCAAGGATCAGTTAGTGTGGGAAGACGTGGCACGGGTGGATTTGGGGACTCCCTTGCTGTCAAACAAAGACCTTCTGCATCATCTGCGGCACAGAGGCGAATGGAGTACATGCCGCGTCTCTGTCCGCATTGCTTGGCAGAATAAGCAACGAGTCCAAGCTGAAGTCCGGTGCTTAGAGAGTGCTGCGTGCCCGTGCCGCTGGCGCGCGCACTATATACTAGCTGCAGCTATCTACCAGCCAGGCACGCTCATTCTACAATGCAGTGGTGCTCATTCTGGACATGAGGCATGTCTTGCTGCTACTGGGAAAGTCTTTAATGCAAAACAGGAAACTCTGGCAGTGCAATTCTTTGATAAAGGTGGGCGCACTGGCAAAAACTTACGGGCTGTGCTGCTAGCTGGTGGCTGTGCTGAATCGTCTTTGCCCACCAACACGCAGCTCTCCAACTGGCTGAAAAACATGAGGAAACGCAGAAAGCCGGCTTTGGATTGCGACCTACACATCGTCGAAGCTGTTCAGTTGGAAGTCAACAAGCTACCCCAGAGCCCGCCCAAGCAATTAGATTCAATGTTTCTATTGGAACAGCCACTCATCAGCGATTCGGAAGTGTGCGTTCTCTTTGCGTGCCCGGGTATGCTGGAAGCCCTCGGCCGCTACGACGGTCCTGATGTTGCTCTTGCGGTCGACACCAAGATGAAAGTACTTGACCGGGGTATGGGCGTGGCTACTTTGAGCTTGCTTGTGAAAGACGCTTTGCGACCAACCCATTTGCCGAGAGGCCCTGGTGGTTGTCGCACCCAAAGCTGCGCTTGGACTTCACATGGACTGCCCATAGTGCAAGCCGTGTTTCACGCCGAAACAAAGCCGAACTATATCCGCCTTTTCCAGAAGATCTGTGACCTATGGGCTTCTCGACAACCACGCCGCTCGCCGCTCCAAGAACAACTAACGCTCCAAATTCACAAAGATTTCCACCCCAGCATTGAGGAGGCTCGACTGCAAGTGCTACCGCTCTCGCGAGCGTGTGATGATTTTTTCCACCTGAAGCAAAAATCTTTGACTACTATGCAAGCCAAATGCAAGCAAGTGATTCACATCGCAAAGGAAAATACATCAAAAAGAACCTCGGGTTTGCTTTGGATACACTTGAGATTCTGCGGCTGGCGCCTACCTTGCCTCTCTTTAGCTGGCTGTGGAAAGCTTTCCTAGCCACGCTCGGTAGCCTTGGCGAGCCAGAGTTAGCCAACTACCTCAAGAGTTACGAACGTGTTCTTCCGGCACAATTTGCTTGCCAAATGTTGCCAGATGACATTGTCTACGTCAGCTTCTGGATTGGCTTTGACGGCATCATCTCCGGTTCTGGTAGCGGCAGCGAGCCCGCAGAAGCTTTGCATTCATCTTGGCAACGCGAGCTCAGTCAGCTCGGCGGGCGTGGCAACATCAACCATGGCTTGCAAGTCTTGCAGCAGCTCTACACGCAACATTGGAAAGATTGGTACAAATGGGGTGACTCTTCATCTTTGTCTTTTGCGCCAGTAAGTCAAGATCCGCAGCTCATCAATGGCACAGCTTTGGTTCGTGCTGGACGTACACCCGCTGCCCATTTGAACAAGTTGCCTCGTGATACCTTGTACATCCTGCGCCCATGCGCCAATCTTTCTTGGGTCGCATTTGCAAGCGCTGCCAGAACATCCCCGCTGAACTGCAGCGTTGCGCGCAAAGTTCTCCATGTCCTTCTACACCCTGAAACCTTGACTGCGCACAGTTTGCCAGACCTCTTCGCTGCTGATGGAACCCTTTCCCTGGAGTCTTTGCGGTTCCATTTTGAAAGCATCGTGTATCTCAAAATCAAATCAACTTCGATACTATGTTCTTGCCTGGCAGCCGCCATGCATGCACAATGCGAACATTCAACATTTCTTCGTAGTTGCAGCCTTCCCAACTTTTCGTCTCCGGCTTTGAATCTTTCGACAGTGCCAGCCAACAAGAAAGGTGGGCGAAAGAAAGCTTCCAACCTTCCCCCGCGCAAACGCCGCCGCGTTTCTTCCTGATGCCACAAACAAAACTTTCTTGCTGCCATGGAAAAAGGTGAGACATCAAACATTATCTAACGCAGCTCTTTCGTTTCTTTGGTCATTAAACGTTAAACTTTGCATTTTTCATACGGGCTGTGCTTTACCGATTCTGCTCGTCGATTCGACACTTCTTCGCAGTGCGTAGCCATACTGTACGATCTGTCACCGCTGCCAGGTCTTTCTCGCCTACTGCGTCGGGGCGGGGTGCGGCGCCCAACTAACTATACGCACGGTTTTTCTTCTCCCGTTAGCGCCCGCCTTGCCGTGGCGGAGAAGCTCAGTACCGCGCAACTGCGCGGGAAGCTAAGCGGCGCTTGTCGGCCTGCAGCTGCATCTGCTATTGCTTGGTCTCTTGTATAGCTGTATGTCGCGATTGCCGGTTGCCATTGCCGGTCGTTGCAGCGGCTAGATGCCTCGGTGCTGCTGCTGCTGCTGGTGCCTGCTGCTGCTGCTGCGGCTGCTGCTGCTGCTGCTGTGCTCTGTTGCTGCTACCGCTGCGGCTGATGCCGGTGCTGCCGCCGCTGCTGCTGCATTACTGCTACCGCTGCCGCTGATGCCGCTCCTGCCGCTGCTGCTGGTGCTGCTGCTGCTGCTGTGACCGGTCCGCGTGCTGCCTTTGCTGCTGCGTTGCTGCTTGCAAGGCAACAACAGCTGTCGCAAAAAACACCCCTCACGGCTGCAAAAAACACCGCCGTCGCAAAAAACACCTCGAGACGTACGCTCCGACGAGTTGTGGGCTGACCACTGTTGCAAAAAACACCGCTCACTGATGCAAAAAACACCGCCGTCGCAAAAAACACCTCGCGTACGCTCCGACGATTTGTGGGCTGCCCACTGTCGCAAAAAACACCGCTCACTGACGCAAAAAACACCACCGTAGCAAACAACACCGTGCAGACGTCCACAAAAACACCGGTTCCGGGCTCACCGTGTGAAAAAACACCCGTGGAACTGTTGCAATAAACACCTTCCCCAGAGCTGTCGCAAAAAACCCTGAAACAAAGTACTGTCGCAGAAAACCCTGATTACTGACGCAATTTACCCGAAGCCCGTCAACCAGGGTCAGGCAGTTTTGGGTGAGGGGTTTGTTCCACTCATTTAAACCCTTTCGGCGACGGGTCGTCATATGACCATTTCATTATGACCAGAGAAAGAAAGGCCAAGTGGTAGCACCAGGAAGAGCTGGAGGGCTTTAGTTGCTTCTGGACTTCTGGTTGGTTCCCTCCTACCACAAACACTTTGAGCTTCTTTGTCGCATGTCTTGCTTGGCAAGGTAGAGACCATCCTGTCCACCGTTCGTGAACCTTGGCCTTTGGAACCCATCTTTTGTTCATTGTATATAGCTTCAGATTGGCTTGATTTAATTTGATGTTTGTAAGTTTGTTGCGCAGCTGTTCTCCACATTGACATGGAAGTCAGGGTAGTAAGAAGTAGACTCATTTTTGGGTGCATTGGGGGTTCTGTTTGCGCCTTCTGAACAAGCAAGGAACTTGAGGGTGCCATTGTCATCTCCACCGCTTTGCATCGACTTGGCAAAGTCTCCCAAGTGCATGGTAGAGTTCTTTACTTTGAAGCGATATGCTCTTGTGGTGCAGGATGATACAATCAAACGAAACTGACCATGGTCGCACTTGGCAGGATCGGCTGTTGGATGGTTTCTCCAACGTCCAGGTTCAAGAGACACTCCTGACCGCATCTTTTGTCAACAACCCAGAGGCTCCATGTATGGAGAATGGCATATTTACCTCCATTGGGCTGGTTTCAGGGGTCAATGTAGGTATACATGACAGACATGGAGTCTTTGGGTCATTGACTCATTGACCTACATTGGGCTGGTAGCCACGTCCTTGGAAGATCCAGGCATTTTTTCCCGCAGAGTCCTTGGCTTTGCTCCGAGGTCAAGGTGTCAGCACATGTCTTCCGGGATCCACGGTTTCATCTCCTCTTGGAGCGCTTTAAGTCGCGGCTGCCCTTCTTTGGCTCTCGGCAGATTGCGAACTCCCTGCATGGACTGGGAGCGATCAGCGGCTCGAACGTGGAAATACCTTCCCCCTTAGACGCGAACCATCCAACAGATGAAACGACGGGAACCATCTCTCGGTGAAACATCCGTCGATGAAGATCACGATCAAACGATGAAACGATGAAACAAACACCGAAATGGACATCCTTTTCATACGTTTGTGTTTTTCATCAAGAGTCTACATTAATTAACTATATATTATATATCCCTTAATTAGATGTGATCTCCCAAGCCCAAACACGATATGGAGTGTTTGGGAAGTGACAAGCTTTTCGCTTGATTTTAAGAACCTACTCTTGATGGAGGCATCCAGCAACAGGAACCCCCATGTCATGCTGAAACTGGGGAGACGTCCTCGGTGCAGGAAGGTGCCAGGAAGATTCCGTTGGGTACTTTATCTCGCTAGCCTCGTTGAAGAAGGGATGGGCAAGTTTGGCTGTTTGACGGAGGGTTCTTCGTGCCGTACAGCTCCAAGTCAGCCTGGGATGCGGCCAGGAGGGCTGCACTTGTTGGACCGCAAATCATCGGCAAGGAGGCCAGTCGGGTCATCCACTTGGTGCTAGGCCTCGCTTTTGAGGGTTTTCAGCCACAGCCTCGCAGCGACCAACCCAGGCTATCGTGGAGGAGGCGCATGGGTGGAGATGGTCTCCATCCAGACCCAGCGGCGGATCCATGAGTTTGAGCCACAGCACGTCTCAAACACTCTTTGGGCCTGTGCGCGCATGCAGCTACAAGAGCCGCTGATGCTTCGTGCAGCTTGGGATGATTTGTTCACTGGGGATGCTATGGTCCTACAAGCAGCTTTCGGGACGTACAATAAACAACAATAATACATATCAACTGCTAGACTCGACTTAGAAGCAGAACATGGAAGAGCTACATACTTTACTTCCTGTTTTGCTTCACTGTGTGTCCGGTGTGTTTGGCGGATCAGCCAGGTGTGTGTTTGGCTAGGAGGTGGTGCTGGTGTTTGGCCCGGTCTTTGCACCAGGGGGTCACCAAGCACAAGGACACTATTTCGAGATGTTAAATGAAACGCGCAATCTACACCAGCGCCACCCAAAGGTTGGTTTATAGACTCCCCTGACTCCTGACTATCTATTTTCCATCTAATAACCACCCAAACTGGGTGGTGCTGGCAGTCAATGATGTTATACAACGAGTTAAAGTATCCTTCCTTCGCTTCCTTTTTGCTAGAATTTGTTTAAAACAAGGTCCATATCGGAGAAAAACAACACATCACTATACACCACTGGCCCTGAGAAGCGGACTTGAATTGAGTGTGCCAAAGCTCACAAGAATCGGCTCAGACTAAGAATCCACCGGATCTCCACCGGAGACATCCATTGGCCAACCATCCGTTGGAGCTGTTCGATGCAACTCCCTAGGCCTTGACCTGCCGGGCGATCGAGGACCAGGGTCACGGCCACCGTGTGGCTGCTGCGGGAGCATGAATGAGGAAGTGCATACTTTATGACAGATGGCTTCGCCTATGCTTGCTCAAGTCCCTTGAGTTGGGGTTCAAGCCATGACCAGACCTGGCTGTTCTGTTTGGAGAAGTAGTTATATACTAAAATCGGACTTGAGTTGAGGGAGAACATGTCGTAGAATCCGTGCAGATGTGGAGCTCCTTCCCAGCTGCACCTAGTCTAGGTGTGTGGGTTCTGACGATGTCGTCACATGTTTCAGGGATGGTGAGATGCCTGCTTCCTGCTTCCGTGCATGTCCTGCTGGCTTATTTGTTTAAAGGAGGTTCTTCAATTTACAGATGCACCCAAGAAGATGAACATGGAATCTGAAAATGGACCTTTGAGAAGACTAGCTTCTTCCACAAACCAGTGATTTTGAGGGAACTCTGTGTGGGTCTCTGTGGTGCTCGGGCGTATAAACATACGTGTGTTCTTTTGTTGTGGTGCGGCTGGAGGACATCGACCGCTTTTGCCCCTTGGACATCTCCATTTGCACCTGGGCCTTCGCCACGCTGAAGCACCGCGAAGCGGAATGGCTCCGCGCCGTGGTCCGCGCCCGGTGCGAGTTCGCGGACTTCTCGCCCCAGAGCCATGGCAGCCAGCGCAACCAGGAACTGGTGCTGTGTGTTGGTTCGAGGTGTTTTTCTCAGTGGTGGCTGGGTGGTGGTTTCAGAGACTTTGGTTTTCAACCTTTACTTGGGAAGATTGATCCCACTGACACTGACTGTTTCTCAAGAGAGTTGAAACCACCAGCCAGCTGGGGACCTGGGGTAGTGCACTTTGTTCTGGACGTTTTGCTTTGCTCAAGACTTGCCACGCCTTCAAAATGTGTCATCCAGATGAGTGTTCTGTTTTGTGAGGGGGTGGGTTGTCCTTCGGAAGGTGAGCAGGCTAGAAGCGGTTCGTCATACATACAGGCAAGCTTTCCATGTGCATCCTGCAAGAATGGCAGCATCACCAAGACTTCCAGACTGCTGAGGCTGGGTGAATGACATTAGGATCCAGCCTCCAGCCTCGTCAGTTTGCTGACACGTAGATTTATTGTTCCACTTTATATATATAGCTATAGTGGATTGCCCATGGTGCACGCAGATTGGACTTGCTTGTGAGCGTCTCCAAGCAAGTCCAGCCGCACTTCTTCAGCCATCCCAAGGAACATGTCCAACTTCGTGTGGGGCCTGAGCACCTTGGGCTTCCGCCATGACACTTGGCCGGCGTCACATTGGCGTGTGCTGACGAGGTCTCAGTACGTTCCTGAAGTGCCCTGCAAAGCAGTAGGATGCTTCTAACCTGTCGGGGTCAGGTGTTCCAAGTCTCTTTCTGTGGCTTTCAGCTGCCATATCATCTCGTTCCCCTGGTTTCCCACCGCTCCGGAAACGTCCAGTCCGCTCCGAGGACAACATGGTTCTGGCGGTCGGTCGGGAGGCGGCGCGTAAAATCCGTGATTTCATCCCTCAGGAGCCGAGAGACGTGTTTCACACGCCAAACACCACCGGGCGCGGTCCTGGTGATGCAGGGTGGGTCCTGATCTTGGGTTGCTGATGACACTTCGAGCTTGAACTGATTCCTATCAAGAAATATCAAGAATTCCTACAGCGGGAGCCCTTCAAAACATCGTCTACATCTGAGGTGGTGGAGGAGTTCTTTCTTCAACAGTTTAGCACCCAAGGTGGCGCAGAAGATTTGGTTTGTTGCCTTGGCCATGTCTCAGCTTGAACGTAGATGTCAGATTGTAAAGAATCACAAGTGTCCATTAATATCATTAGATGAGATCTTTCTTGGCATTTTCTTGGCATCTTTGAGACATTCAACAACATGGTTTGCTTGGGGCTAAAAAGTTCGGACACCATTCTCGTACAGGGTGAGGTTAACGTGTAGTTTTTTGCGTGAGTCTGAGTCGGAGTCCTTGAAGTTGCACCAGAATACAGACAATACTCCAGTATGGCGTCGTTTGCCTGGTACATTCTCCTGGCCCAACCTGGAATCGTCGACTGCCTGTGGTGAATGAGGCCTGAGGCAGTTGGCAAGCTTGATGTGGACTTCCTCAGGGTGAGTCGAAAGGAACAAAGGAACCCGTGGCCCCCCTTCTAGCTGTGCTGCACTAGCTGGATTTGACTCATCACGGAAGGGGAACCCGTAATTCTTGCACCCCTGTGCAATTCTTCCTCAGATTCTTGTTCCCACCCTGACTCTTTGGAACGAGGGTTTCTAGATTATGTTAAAATCATTCCATGTCTCTAATCTACGGTTGCATTCTGTGGACCACTGCATGTCCTAAATGTGTCCTATCTGATAGGGCGTAAGAATTGATCCGGGCAGGAGCTCTCGAACTTCTCTTGGGCCTTGGCCACGATGGATCTTTGCGACAACTTGATTCTTCGTGCCATTGCTGAAGAGGTGGACCGCCGTGGTGATGAGGCAGGAGCAGGAGACCAGAGAGGAAGCAAGGAAAACTGCGCCTGGAATACGCACAAAATAACGGAAAGCGTCCCTGCGGTTCCTAACACGGCAAACCACCCGGGGTTGTGGAAGAATGTGGAAGATGATAGTTCACCAGTTAAGTGGTTGTTATATAGATGTTGTTGCGTTAGTTGCTAGGGATTTGTACTCCTCTTCAACGTCTATGTCTTAGACGTCGCGTTTGGGATCCTGCGGATCCTCCGCATCCGAGACCGAACCGTTTGAGATCGCGAGACCTCGACAGGTCAACAGTTGGGATCCTCAAAGCTTGTCCAACATGATGTGGGCCTATGCCACCTTGGCACTGAAGGATGACCCGCTCTTTCAGCGTTTATTGGATGCCTCCATCGCACGCATCGAGGACGGTCGGACTCTCTTTCTGTAGATTTAAGTACTGATTTTCTGGGGGGGGGCTTAGCAACTTAAGGACTGGAAAACTATTGTTCAGGATCGCAACGTTGGCAACTTGAAGTCTACAACCCTCATGGCAACCACTTCCGGAGTGGTTCATACCACACGGTGGTTGTGCTAGATTGCTAGATGATCAGGATCGGGGCCGAAGAAGAGCAAAGGCTTTTGCCGATGTCTCCAGAATTGATTGGGCAGGAGAGTCTTCTACTATGGCGGGCGCTCACATAGGCCTCAGAAGTGAATATGTGGAACCAAATATGTTTTTTTACTCTTCCCATTTTGGCCAAGTGAAGGACCACGACACCCAAAACTTGGCGAATACGTCCTGGGCTGCGGCCATGGTGGGCTTCCGTTACTCCCGCTGGTTGGACGCGTGCGCGCGGAAGGCAGTGGAGAAGATTCAGGAGATGGTCGAGGTTGGAGAAGATCCATGGGTTGCCCGACCAATTGCCCAGGGACATGGGTTGCCCTATGGTTTGGTGGTTTGGTGGACCACAACAAGTGCTGCTGAGCTATGGGTCTAAAGCACATACCTCTAAGTCCAGCATGTTCAGAGAACTGACTGTATTTGTCAGTCAGTATGTTCACTTTATACATACAATTGTCCTTCAGATCTCGCTGGGCTTTGCTTTGGCGTGCTTGAACGTAGTCCACAAGACAGAAACAACGCCTATTCGTACCTCTCTCAGAACTCCCCGCTCAAATCCAGACATCGAATACTCCACAAACTACAACTTGCAATTTGGGCCAACAAATTTTGAGACACATATACCATCTATCTCAGTAACCTCCAAAGAGGTCATCACAGGCAACTATTCAGCACAGAAACCCAATACATACAGAGGAGACCTGTTGGAGGAGACCTGGGATGTCAGAATGTCCCACAGACGCCTGTAGATGTGGTCGTGTTGGCAGACGCTCAGACGTGTGATCCCATGCGCTGGTGTAGTTGGTCGATTCCGCCTCAACCGCCAGGAGTGTCAAACGTTACACCTCGCTCAGTTGGCATTCGCCTTTGCACGCTTCGTCGCCAAGGGTGACCAGCACCAGTTTCTGCCCACCCTTCTGAAGGAGACCGAGCACTAGGAACTTGCAAGTGAGCAGGTGACTTTGGTAAGGTAGACTTTTGATGAATAAACCCTTTGAATTGGAAGTCCTCTTCACATAGGGGGTTCATTAATCAAGAGTCCACATTAAGGAAGGTATAAAGAGTCACATGTGATTGGAATGGATGGATCATGATGGATCCATATTGAATGGATCGATTCCGGCAGGTTTGAAACTTTGTGATTTGATCTAGATTCTAGATGTGTCCAGGGGCTGAAGGTTCACTACTTCAAACATTTATGCTGATGCCATCTCCCAGATTCTCCCAGCCTTCAGGAGACACTCCGAAGATTAGAAGAGTTTCCTCCTCAATCTTTGTTCGACGTCCACGATGCCTTGGTCTTCTTCCAGGCGTTCCCCGCGCCTCCCTCCGGCGAGTGCCTCCGCATGGAGCGACGGCTCTCGGAGCACTTTGAAGACACAGCACGGACGCTCGAGACGTTTGCCCGGCGGAGTGCAGAGCGCGGTGGACGGCCCAGCATGGAAGAGGTCACCAAGTACCAGCGGAGTGTGGAGCAGGATAGGAGTTGAGTAGTCTTGTGTTTGAAGAAGAAACGGTTCATTCAGAAACATGAAAGTCATTTACATTGTTTCCATCATCAGTTCTCCTGAAGCCCACTTTGCCACTTTTTTCAAAGGCAGACATCGTGACCCTGGGGGAGCACTGGACCTTGGCATTCTTGAAGCGCTTCGGCCTGCTGTGCAGCAGTGAGGACCGCTTCATTCACAGCGCCCGTCGCCGGATCCTGGACTTCCGCGACGAGGCGTCGGTGACCGACCCTGTGAGCCGATCCATCTTTCACCGCGCGCAGTGCGTGTGGCAGCTGGGGATCCAAGGAGACGGTCCGGTCCGACGGTCAAGGGAGACACGGCGGAGACGGTCCGGTGGTTGCTGGTTTAAGATCTGTTGGTCAGAACAACGGCGGGGAAGAAGATGGGAGGATTATGAATCGGTATAAGGTCAAGTGGCCGAATGAGCCTATACTTGTCATTCTTAAGCGGTTGTCACCGCTTTGTTTTGCTAGAGTCGTGTCCAAATGTTCAGATGCCCCATCCAGGGGACACGGATGGAGCATTGGCGGATGGTTTATTTGAGAGTGGCGAGCCAGTCGCGGGTGCCCCTGCGGGGCACGGCTTGTACGTGTGCCGCTTACGCCATACCCGAGAAGGGGATGCAGAGATTCAAGCACTGTGCGCAGCCTTGGATACTTCAGTCATGCGGAGTGGTCGAGTTCCAGAGGGTTTGAAGCTGAATTTGCACTTATCCGATGTGCCTTGCGTTTCTTGCCTCGGTTGCACCTTGCAGTTTCAGTGTCGCTTCCCAGGTGTGTTGCAGATCTCTTTCGATCGTGGGCGGGTGCAGTCAGAGGACTCAAGGCCCATTCCGCGCCCTCCGCCACCACCCTCCAAGCGCGGCAACCCGGTGCCCTATGCACCACTGCCGACCACCCCGCCACACGATGGCGTGGATCGCAGCATGGTACGAAAGGAACGGCCGAAGGACGAGGATCGCACCTCCTTCTACTTGAACCCCTTAGCACCTCGAAGACCCGATGGTGCGAGCAAGGGAGGAGAGGAAGCAGTGCCTCACAAGCTGGTGCATGGCCGAAATGGGAGCCAGCAGACCTATTATTTCTCCTCAGCCCCAAGCTTTTATGGATCTGATGACTACGAGGCGTGCTGACCAAAAAGGCGTGAACCACCCGAACCACCAGGCGTTCTCGTCACGGCTCTGAGAACTCGGAGTCCAGCACCGGCGTTCTCGTTTGCGGATGATCATCCTTTCGGGGCCATGTCATCTTAATGAGTATTCCAAGGAGTAGTCCGAATAGTCTATATAATTCTACCAGCACCCGAACAGGGCCAGGCTGTTAGTTGAGGGTTGTTGGACCCTGTCTCAGGTCGAAACATTGGTGACCTGTCGGAGGGTGCTGGTATCTAGGTATACGGTATACTGCTGTAGATTTACAGATCTAAGCCAAGAAGCATGTAGATCAGGACTTGACTTTGGGCAGTCCTTCGCTCTTGCTGCACGATGGGATTCTGAAGGTGCAAGGGAGTTGGGCAAACAATAGTACAATCATGTCATATCATGAATTATCATGATATTCCATCATATCCTCAAAAAATAGTTCTAGCACCTAATCTATAGTACTCGTCATAGTATGTCATAGTCATAGGGTTGGTTGCATCTCCAAGTGCAGTACAAAAGCATACTTTCATGGGACCTCAAAACGGATCTTAGGGGGTTTATCAGCCTAGCTTGGGCTGATGAAAGCTACACTTCTTCGTGTTCTTTTCGAGCCAAGCACTTTCAACATGTGCGGCACTATGCAGTGTGGAGGACTTTGAGAGAGGGAAACATCCACTGCTTTTGGTGAAGATGTCCTTTCGCCCATGCCGTCGACGTGATCGCTGACCCACCGGGCTGGAAGCAGCCCGGTCACAGAGATGACACCGGTGCGACGTGTCCGGTGCGACGTGTCCGGTTGCGCGCCGAGGCGAACATCGGTGGATTTGCCTTACCCTTGTCACGGCATGCTGGGCCCAATGGCCAGGCGAGATCGGAGAGGAAGCTGGATATTTTGTTTGGATCGGGGTGTGCATTCCATGAAGTGGAGGGGACAACCCTATCCATAAAACATCATAAACATTCTATATATATATATATATGGATTCTATATGGTGTTGCACCTGATTTTGACACCTGGATATTTAGGAGTGATGTCGTGATTCTTGGAGTTCCGAGGCCATGGCAAGCTGTAGATGGTGGAGTATCTAAGACTCACGTGATCTCAAGCTGAGCTGCCGGTTCACGTTCGAGCAGAGCCTGCAACTATAGGCCCACAAAAAAGCAAACCTTTTAATTCGGAAAGGCTGTTATACAATACATGTTCTTATAGCTGGCCCATGCTGGCGCGCCACAGGTATGGTGGAACAATAGGACGTGACATTCAGAACACCTGGCCACACCAGCAGCAGGCGGTTCACTTCGCATGTCTCTTTTTCTTGGGACCGGAAAGAGGTCCACGCCTTTGAGCCCTTTCGAGTTCTTCATCAAGTGCTGACCGCCAATTGTCGCTCGGAGAACGTTGATTCGTTTCGGTCGCCATGAAACAGGCCGACATGACCACACGAGTCTGGGACCTTTTGTCCGATGTTGCGATGCATCACTGGGTCCAACTGGGGCCCTCCGTGCCTGTCAACTGGGGCCCTTTGTGCCTCCTCCGGGTCCAGTCTTCACGTAGACGTGCCGAGGTGCGATCAACGGACTTCTGAGTTGCTTCACCTATCACTATGCCCTCGGTGCGCGAGTCTGAAGGGGGGGCGAGTTTTTTCTTTTCACGCGGAGGGCGAGGTTTGTGTGGCAAAAAACAGGCTGATTGGGAGGTTTGCTCTCATGGAAGCTATCCTTTTCGTCATGGGTACCTTAGTTTGAGCTGTACTGTTCACCAACGGCACGCGGAATACATGGAGAGCCTGGGCCTGGATGCTAACACATTGGACATACGTACATTGGCAAATGCTATCCAATGGATGGCAGTGTCCGTTCGACAATCGACTGAAGCTAGGTCCCGGCTATATAGGTGTGCTGTGTTTGTGACCAATGATTCATGATTCAATTGCATTTCTGACAGGACAGCGCATGAGTACATGACATGTGTTGTAGCGAAGAAGGCCTGCATTGTTTGGCTTCAATAAGGGCCCACACAGCAGCCCCACTATGAATCCAATTCCCATGAATGGTTTATTGACATGGTTTTACCAACAACCCAGACGACAAGCTGTTGGGCTGTTGGGCATGGTCTTCGCCAACTCTGTGCCACCAGGCAATAAGGCAGAGAAGCGACTACGGCCAATGTCACTGGCTAAGAAAGGCCGTTGTGTCAACTGTTGCGGGTGAAGGCAGTGTCGCTTGATGTTTTTCTGCAGTGTTGTGGACCAAGCGTGCCTCACTAATTAACGAAGCTGGGCCCTCCAATCACTTCCAGCATACGAAGATGCATCACAACGGGCTTCAAGACCAAAACGGATGCATTTTCAAGGTCCATGTTAGATGTGACTGTGGGTTTTTCAACAGGGGGACCCTGGTTGACCCCTGAAGATGAACGGATTCCTCTAGAAGTCTAATACGGGATGTTGACCTACCATGGTCTGGTGGATCCTCCAATGCTTGGTGTTATATATATCATGTTATATCGGGTTTTTGTGAAGCTCGTAGTAGAACACACAAGAAAGAGAACTAAACAGCCAGGTCTTTGTGAGACGGCTCAGGGACGAGCCATGCTCGCCAGAGAGAGAGAGAGGGCTATGTCTTTGGCGACGCAGACTTTCTAAAACAGACGGTCGAGTGGCCTGAGGCCGGGATTGGCAGCCGTTGGAAACCCGCTCGGTCCTCAGATGAGTAGCAGACCCAAGCTGTTAATCCATGGCCGTGCACTTCTGATTCGTGATGAGTTCTGTATAGGTGATGCTTCTGGATTTTGGAGGTGGTTGTTGCGTTCGAAATCTGAAGAAGTTGCATTATTTGACAACCGCACACTCGATGCCAACGCTGCGCCGCAGAATTCCCTCTGATGATGCGCAACTTGGGATGCCGGACTCATGCCCCAAGTGCCTTATCAGACATCATTCCCGGATAGGGCCATCCCCGCTGGTCAACAGCAACCATCCCTTTGTGGCTTGCTGTAGTGACATGCCGTGACATGCCCCATCAAAATTTTGGTGTTTTGTTTCCAACTCACTAGGGTAACAGTAATCCTCCGGAAGACCTTGTACTCTTTTTCTGCAGACAGAACAACAAAGAACAATATGTCACAGCAATTCACCAAACCAACACTGACACGTGTTTGTGGAAAACCGTGGAAGTAGACACTCATTAACTCATCAATGAATGGTGTATTTGCTTAATATAGTGTTGTTTTCAATGTTGTCAATCAACTTCTGAAACATGCTGAAATTTGCTTAACCATTTTTAATTCACACTGAGGAAAGGTGCTTTGAGATTCGACCGTGGTCGTTTTCTGTGAGCAGCTCCAAGTTGCTTGTACTGCTGGTACTAGAAACCATTCCACCAGATCTCCAGCTCTACATTGAGCAATTAGGATTACACAAGATTACTATCCCTACATGGCCCTACATGATCTTGTTCCAATATACATCCAGAATCCAAATCCATGTTAAGACGTCTCCTCTTGGCCCATCCGACTCTCCCACCGACACTCTCCCTCCAGGTCCAAGAGCTTCGTGGTCGATGCCGTGAAGTCGGACGGGACGAGTCGTGTCGATCACCAAGGTTAGTGAAGACGGTCTCGGTCAGTCGCTCAAGGTTCTACCAAATGCTTCTTAGCGATGCCCTAGTAGCTCCGTTCGTAGCGAACCTTGTTCCCAGGAGCCCCTAGTAATTAGCCTCCGATCGCTCCGTGCGTAGTAAGGCCAGGAGCCCCGTTCGTAGCTTCCATGAAATGCTCTTTTCATTAGGTGGCCATTTCTCAACGTTCTTGAGCAAAACAATCATGTTTGTGTTAGCCGTTAGCCTTGATGTTCTTGGTTCCATTCTTGGATTCTGCTTGGCTACAGAAGTGTTTTGCATTCTGTGTGCTGCGGCATGTGAACAAGGGAATCGCTGTGTGTGTAGCGATGGGGAACCCTGACGAGCGATACCTGTTACAGGAAATTGCTAACACCCAGCAATACTTCAACTGTACATACTTTAACAATTTTAGGTATACGTTTTGGAAAACCATGCTATTTTTCTCGAGCAAGACCCAAACCGATACCAAACAATGGAGAGATACCTCAGAAGGCCAGTCCTAGCCACCTCAACTCACTATCCGCACTATCGCTAGTATAGCGTTTCCTCATGCCACATCGCAAAGAGCTTACCTTTGCAATTTGTTTCAAGCAATGGCACACAAACGTGGGAGCGTCCATCTACGAACCACCACCACAACATACCACAACTACTTCCGGGGTTCGGAGAGAGACCTTGTATTTGTTCTTTGCTTTTTACAGAAAGACCGTGTGGGGCAGCAGACGATACCATGGCACCCAGAGCGATACCGCCGCATCCAGGAGCTGCTGGTTCATCACGACAGTCTGGGACGCATGGAAACGGTCGGCTTCCGAGCTGCGAAAACTCAACAAGCCGCCATTGCCAGGTGCTCATGTCCATTTGGCAGGGTGTCCAACTAAAGTCTTCCCCAAGTACACCGTATCCGTACCCTTGCATAGTTTCTTGTCCAACACTCTTTGAAGCCCAAGGGCAACCTCAATGGAATTTCAGAGTAGGTGGCACAAACCATCACGCCACTGACAGACTGACCAGATCCATCTTCCATGAACTGTTGCATCGACAGTGCCCATCGTTCCCTTAGGTCTCCGTCGTCCGCTTGGACGATCTGTTGGAGCTGGAGCGTCTAGATGCTGGGGAAGCCCAGCTTGCGGCGGAGCGAGCTGCGCGGAGCGAGCTGCGCGGCATGCAGTGCAGTGCAGTGCATGCTAAGACCAAACGTGCTTTTGAAACCAGAGGACCCATATCATGATGTCATCCGTGTAGGAGGACAAGTGTGATGGTTTTTTTTGGATGCACCTTGTGCTCACGCGCAAGTGTGAAGGACGGGCATGAAGACAAGGGTTTTACATCCTTTTAGCGAGACTCACACGAACTCCCTTGCGTTGGCTTTGTATG